AGGGGATACTTTGAAATATGGCTCACCTGCTCTGCTTCCCTACGAGATAATACAAATAATATCCCAAGGTCTTCGCTACTGTATATTTTGGATTTCTTGTACACAAGCTTTGCAAAAAAGGATCTCGATTGTTTATCTATTTATCGATCTATTTATTCGTTTAATTTATTTGCCACCCATCTTTTAAGGAACAACTCTGGGCAGCATTAAAACATTAAAATCCTAATAAATACAGTTCTTTAAAAGAATAAAAATAAAAGTTCCGATCAAGATAAAATATAGTTAAAAGATGGGGAGGGTGGGATTGCCTCTTAATTAAACAACCACCTCCAATGTGATATTCCCTCGTTAGGGCCCCAAGCCATCTTAATTTAGCAATCTTTGGGCAGGGGAGAGTTCCAGGATAAATCTGGAATTCTATGAAAGCTTATCATAGGTATCTTCATAAAATGGCTGTTGGCTAGGGCAAGCATTTTCATTCCAAAGCTAGCCAAAACAAGATGACAAGTCTGCTTTTCAACATCCCTTCTAGCCATCCAGCATAGTCTCTATGACCCAATGCTCCATTCCAACTTTTCTCTGTTTTTTTTTTTAATTAAAATCATGGGCCTCACATTTCCAATTCTCTAACTTGGAGACCCAAGCAATAAGTAAACTCAGAAGACATGTAGGAGACACCTTCTCAAACTCTACACTCCAATTAGCAAAACCCAACTGTTGCCTTCACTTAATGTATGACATCCAATGGGGCCACCGAGTTCATACAACTTGCTAAGACAATGCAACCCTTTCCTCATCATAAAGGTAAACGTTTCCCCTGTCCAGTTGTATCTGCCTTTAGGGCAGGGGTAGGCAACCTTGGCTCTTTTATGACTGGTGGACTTTAACTCCCAGAATTCCTGAGCCAGCCATGCTGAGGGGAAAGGGAGAGGTTTCCAAGCTGAGCCCTGTTGGCCCAGGAATTCTGGGAGTTGAAGTCCACGAGTCATAAAAGAGCCAAGGTTGCCTACCCCTGCTCTAGGGGGTGGTGTTCATCTCTACTTCTTAGCCAAAAAACCAGCTTTGTCCAAAGGCTGGTGGTCATGTGGCTAGCATGACTACATGCCAAGGTGCACAGGATGCTGTTACTTTCCACCAAAGTGGTACCTATTTATCTACTTGCACATGCATGCTGTTGAATTGCTAGGTGGGCAGGAGCTGGGGCAAGCAGCAGGAGCTCACCCTGTCACCTGGTGCTTGGGTCTCAAACCTGGGATGTTAGCTTTCCACTGACAAGCTAAGTATCTTTAACTACTGAGCCAGGGCACCCCTTCTTCCCTCCACATACTGATCCCCAAATTATCAACCCCAAAAAAGCATCCTGGGAAAACCTGTCCAAGGGGATTAAAAAGCATCCCAGGGTGAAAGGCTTCTGGGCAGCAAAGAAAAAAGGACCATTTGCTAGCCGAGTTTGGGAAGAGCTCTACTAAAGTTGAAGCGCCAGAGTGCTTAAAAACTAGCAGCTTTTACTATTTTAAACATTTGCCTGAACTTTGCCTTGTACATCTGGTTTTTACCCCAAAGGCTTAACCCTTTCCCCAGAAGAGGTTTGATAATGAGGCCACCAAATTATGGGAAGAACATTCCAGAATATTATTTCAGGGCAGAAAGCTTTACTTCGAGACTTCAAAGGACAGCCTCCTGATTTCCTGCCTCAGAACTTAATTCTCCAGACAAATTTCCCTCTTGATGAATTATAAGCACTTTCACCTTTTTCCCAGGAACAATTACTGGGATACAAAAGTTAATTACAGCCGATCTGCCATCCATAGCAGATGACAAATAAGGCTCTCCCATTGCAACTACTGTACCAAGTAAGAATATAAAGACAGACAGACACACACACACACACACACACACACACACACAATAATTAGCAAAACTACAGTAACGGCTAGAGGACTAAAATGTGGAGCTGTTTAGTCCATCTGCAAAATATTATCTTGTCACTCTGATTTATTTATTTGCTTTACATTATGTGGTGCAAAGAGTCCTGGAAAGACACATGCTCAACATTACAAGGCAAAAGAGAAAGGATCTAGAACATAGAATAATAGAGTTAGAAGAGACCTTGGAGGTCTTCTCACACAACTCCCTGCTTGAGTAGAAGACCTTATTCCATTTCAGATAAATTATTGTCCAGTCTCTGTTTGAAAGCCTCCAGGGAGGAAGGCAAGTTGCTCCATTGATTGAGTGCTCTCACCCTTAGGAAATTTTTCCTTAGTTCTAGATTTCTTTTCTCTTTGGTTAGTTTCCATCCATTGTTTCTCATCTTGCTTTTTGGTGCTTTGGAAAATAGTTTGACCCTCCTCGTCTTTGTAGGAGCAACCAGTGCTTTTTTTCTAAAAGAAAAAAAAAAGGTGCTGGAACTCACACACTTCATACAACCCGCCTTGCCTACCCTACAAGGTTCCATCCAAAAAAGGTGCTGGAACTCCGTTCTGGGTGTTCTATGAGAAAAAAAGCCCTGGGAGCAACTCAGATATTGGAACACTGTTGTTATGTCTTCTTTTCATTAAATTAGACATGCCCAATTCCTGCAACCATTCTTTGTCTTAGCCTCCAGCCCCCTAATCATTCTTCTTCTCCTTCTCCTTCTCCTTCTCCTTCTCCTTCTCCTTCTCCTCCTTCTCCTTCTCCTTCTCCTTCTTCTTCTTCTTCTTCTTCTTCTTCTTCTTCTTCTAAGAGATAAGCAACCTGGAATTAAGGAGAAACTTCCTAACAGTGAGGACAATTAACCAGTGGAACAGCTTCGCCTCCAGAAATCGTGGGCGCCCCATCACTGGAGGTTTTTAAGAAGAGACTGGACATTCACCTGTCTGAGACAGTATAGGTTCTCCTGCTTGAGCAGGGGGCTGGACTAGAAGACCTTTAGTGTCCCTTCCAGCTCTGTTCTGTTCTATTCTATTCTATTCTATTCTATTCTATTCTATTCTATTCTATTCTATTCTATTCTATTCTGTTCTATTCTATTCTATTCTATTCTATTTGATTCTATTCTATTCTCTGCACTCTTTCCAGAGTTTCTATATCTGTTTTTTATACTGTGGTGAGCAGAACTGGATGCAGTATTCCAAGTGTGGTCTTAGACCTGCCCATGGATTACAGAACAAATGCAAGTATACAATATCATCAAGAGAGTAAAAGAATGGAAATGGAAATGGACTGGTCACATAGCAAGAAGAACTGAGGGCAGATGGACCAAGACAGTCACAGAATGGATCCCACTTGATAAAAAGCATCCACCCAAGAAACATAAAACCAGATGGAGCGTCAACATCAGCAAGTATGGTGGGCCCCATTGGCAAAAGAAAGCCAGGACCCTATTGGTTGGAAACAGGTGGAAGAGGCCTTCGTCCTGCAGTGGATAGACTGGCTAAAATGAGGATGACTATGATTTCTATATTGCCTCAATTCAGAGATTCTGGGCTCTGTACAAAAGTTCATATTACTGATGTTGTACTATATCCATATTTAAATATTGCTCATCATAAAACTACATGGCCACCCCCAGTTCCTCATTCTGCATCAAAGTACTATAAGGCTACTAGTCACACCAGATGTAAAATTTCCTAGAAGGTGCCCACATATATTCTCATCACTCATAACTGTATATTTGAGTAAAATATCGGTATTCAAATAAACACTTTTAAAATGATTGGGTCCAAAGTGCAAGGTTTCATCCCAACCTATTATATTTTTAGGATATTCTTAGGAAAAGAATCTGATCCTGTAATTGGCAGTTATATATGAAACCAATGCAGAACAATAACGCCATTTAAATCAAGGGTGTCCAATCTTAGCAACTTTATGACCTGAGAATTTCTTCTCTCAGAATTCCCCAGCCAGAGGGAATTGAACGCCTATTCTACTTGGAAGGTCAATCCAAATCCTCAGACTGATGATTCAAATTATTTCAGTTCCAATTCTGTTTTAAGGAACCCTGATACAGCAAGACCAAACTAAAGAAGAATTCCATTTAACACACTAGGCACAATGTTATGTTCCATTGTTCCCCAGGAATGTTCTAACACAAATATCAACTTGGGGGGCCTCCAAGAAGACAGAAATGTTTCTTAAGTCAAACAGTGTTGTCCATGTCTTTTGCAGGCTAGAACAGTGATGGCGAACTTTTTAGAGACCAAGTGCACAAACTGCAACCCCAAACCCAAAACTTATGTATTGTCAGGTGCCAGGTGGCAAGTGGGCATGGCCCATTGGGTGTGTGTGGCCCATTGGGTGGGTGTAGCTGTGGTGGTAACGGCAGATGGGGTGGGACTAAAAAGTTCAATCAATCAATCCCAACTTTGCGAGATCTTTTTTTTCCCGCAAGAAGTTGAAATTGATTGATTGATCGAACCTTTTTTTTTTTTTTGCACATGGTGGCAGAAGCCTAAAGCGAAAAGGTTTTATAAAACCCAACTAGAGGCCTAGGACTGGGGTGACAGTGTGCGTGCCCACAGAAAGGGCTCCGCGTGCCACCTGTGGCACGTGTGCCATAGGTTCGCCATCACAGGGCTAGAATTTCTTCAGCTCTGCTTCTTAAGAACTTTGGAAGAGAAACAATCTAAGCCCTCCTGCTTTTAGAATATCTGCTTTACCCTTGTCTGCAAGAATAACAAGTCAGATAATAAGCTTAAATGGTAGTGCATTCCCTTCAAGCAAGCATTAGGCAACTAAACTAAAATCCATATTGCTTCCTTGAAGCCACAGCTGCCCAAATGCGCAGAGACTACAACTCCCCAAATTCACAAAAACTAGCCTAAAATTCTAGAACTTTTCATTCCAGTATTTCTGAAGAGGGATGGGTAAGATTAATAAAAACATGCAACTGGCCTTGCTTGTTAAGTGCACATTATGTGTCAAGTCTCTTGCACACATTTGCATGCGGTTATGCATGCATTCTCAGGATTTTAGCAATCCAGGCCACTAAAGCAATGAACACTGCAGTGGTCGCTTACCAGCAGCAATAAGGAATCCGCCTCCAACTTTATAGAATCTCGCATTGACAAAGGGCACACCGCACACCAGCAAAAACACTCCTACAAGGCTGGCAGTGATGGCCAGGACAATCAAGACTGTCCAGAATCCCCTGTACACTATGCACAGAGGAAAAGACACACCACAAGTTGAGTCAAGCAAGCTATACAATCAGAGTACATGGGAAAAAAATATCAATGCAAGGAGATCAACTTTTACTCCCCAGATGTTTGAAAAGGAAAAGAGAGAGACAAGCTGACAGGCATTCGAGTTTTGTCAAAAATAATTTGGGATTGGATTATGTTGGATGCGAAGCTCCAGTGTGCAGAAAGCTTTGCACACTTATACCTTTTAGCAGTCATAGTTATGCCAGATAGTTCAGAATGTATAATGGGGTAGATGTTGTTGTTAGTTGTGAAGTCATGTCCGACCCATCACAACCCCATGGGCAATGTTCCTCCAGGCCTTCCTATCCTCTACCATCTTCTGGAGTCCATTTAAGCTCATGCCTACTGCTTCAGTGACTCCATCCAGCCACCTCCTTCTCTGTCGTCCCCGTCTTCTATTGACCTCCATATTTCCCAGCATTAGGCTCTTCTCCAGTGAGTCCTTCCTTCTCATTAGGGGGCCAAAGTCCTTGAGTTTCAACTTCAGGATCTGGCCTTCTAAAGAGCAGTCGGGGTTGATCTCCTCCAGGCCTTCTGTCCTCTACCATCTTCTGGAGTCCATTTAAGCTCACGCCTACTGCTTCAGTAACTCCATCCAGCCACCTCCTTCTCTGTTGTCCCCTTCTTCTCTTGCCCTCCATCTTTCCCAGCATTAGGCTCTTCTCCAGTGAGAAGATAGGGGGTAGATATAGCACTATAAATGCTGGGCAGATCATAGAATCAAAGAGTTGGAAGGGACCTTGGAGGTCTCCTAGTCTAACCCCCTACTTGAGCATGAGACTTTATACCAGGGATAGGCCACCTTGGCTCTTTTATGACTCATGGACTTCAACTCTCAGAATTCCTGAGCCAGCCATGTTGAAGTCCACGAGTCATAAAAGAGCCAAGGTTGTCTACCCCTGCTTTATACCTTATGAGGGGCTTTCCCTTGTGTCTCCATCTTGACATTTTTGACCACCTCCCCCAAATAGGGATAAGGAGAGTTTGCATATTGCCATACAACTACCGTACATCTTAGCACCATTAATGAAGCCTAGGTATGAAGAATATATTATGAATTCAAGTTTTCCTCAGAACGTACCTGCAGTTGCATCATAAGAGGGGTGAGGATGAGGCCCAGACACAATAGGCATTGGGAACAGGTAGGCGTTCATACAGTGCTTAGGATGGGCTTGGCTGGCTGGAGAAGGAAAGAAATGAGACATCTCTTAGAGTCTGTTTTTTATTGAGCTGAACAGCTACACGTCAATTCTACACATACAGGTACTCCTCAGTTTACAACCATTCATTTAGTGACCATTTGAAGAACTGAAAAAATTATCCTCATGATCACATAGTCAAAATTCTAGTTCATGTTTATGACCGTTGCAATGTTCTAAGGTCATGCAATCAACCTGTCAATGGGAAAGCCAGATTCACTTAACCACTGTGTCACTAATTTAACAGCTGCAGTGGTTCCTTTAACAACTGTGGCAAGACAGGTCATAAAGCAGGACAAAACTCACTTAACTGTCTTGCTTAATAACAGAAATTTTGGGCTCAATTGTGATTGCAAGTCAAGGACTATCTGTATGTTAATATAGGACTTGGGTTTGGCTAGTCTAAAGAAAAGAAGAAACAGGGGGGGGGACATGATAGCAGTCTTCCAGTATTTGAGGGGCTGTCACAAAGAAGAGAGGGTCAAATTGTTCTCCAAAGCACCAGAGGGCAGGACAAGAAACAATGGTTGGAAACTGATCAAAGAGAGAAGCAACCTGGAATTAAGGAGAAAGTTCCTAACAGTGAGGACAATTAACCAGTGGAACAGCTTGCCCCCAGAAACTGTGCGCGCTCCATCACTGGAGGTTTTTAAGAAGAGACTAGACATTTACCTGTCTGGAATGGTGTAGGTTCTCCTGCTTGAGCAGGGGCTGGACTAGAAGACCTCCAAGATCCATTCCAGCTCTAGCCTATGCTATTCTATCAGGCTTGCTTCTGTAAGGCAACCTAATTGTTTTAATATTAGGCCCAATTCTTCCTTCCAGTTTCCTGATATTCTTTTCCATTGTGAAAAAAAGTGTTTCATTTTGCTTGGCCTCCTCAGAATTTCAAAATCTTTTGATAGCAACAATGGATCTTACCTTTTTATGGGTGTTTTAATATTATCTTTCTAACACTCTGCAGCTGCCTTGCCCTTCTTGGCTTCCTCATCTGTAAAGGTCCTGTTGAAGTACTTATCCAGGTATCTTGGATCAACAGCTTTCCTTGGGACTCAACCAATAGGAAGCCAAGACAGGTGCAGCCTATATAATGATTGCCTCATCTAATTGGTGATTGCGACACTCACAAACCTCCTTCAAGTATCTCACAATTAAGGTACACGAGAGAACAAGTAACTGCCTTAATATTACAATGATAGTATTTTCTGAGGACCAACTTCAATCAGCCCTCTTAAACAGGGGTCTTCAAACTTGGCCCTTTTATGACTTGTGGACTTCAACTCCCAGAATTCCTCACCCAGGCACGCTGGCTGAGGAATTCTGGGAGTTGAAGTCCACAAGTCATAAAAGGGCTAAGTCTGAAGACCCCTGCTCTTAAATCTCTTCTTACACAGTCTTGAACCTTTTCCTTTGACACCAAATTATCCAAAATAATAAGGGGCTCAGTTGTGGTCATAAGACTATCTGTAGTAGTTTTTACTTGTGAAGCAAATAGCTAGGTGAGGGTCTTTAGTTGTCTTCACTAAACTCATTATAACCTTTAGCAATAAAGGAGAATATTTGTAGCTCAGGGTTGACATGAGGGGTCCTTGGTGCTGTCCGAGCTCGGTTGTTTTCTTGCAGACGTTTCATTAACCAAACTAGGTAGCATCATCAGGGCTAGAAGGGAGTGAGGTTTGCTCTCTGCTTATATACAACAGTTCTCTGCAATTACAACTGTTTATATACAATAAACAGAGAGCAAACCCCACTCCCTTCTTCCTTTCTAGCCCTGATGATGATACCAGTTTGGTAATGAAACGTTTGCAAGGAAAACAAGCTCAGAGAGCACCAAGGACCCCACAATCCTCCTCCTTCCCCCCCCCCTTCTTCCTTTTCCACAAACCACACTCCATTCTAGCACTGATGATGCTCCCTAGTTGGGTAATGAAACGTCTACAAGAAAACAACCAAGCTCAGACAGCACCAAGGACCTCTCATCATAACTGAGTTCCTGTACCACATTAAGCTGTGGTTTGCTTAAGCATCCTTTCTTGGATAAGGAACATCTTTACCCATAAATGCAGAGTTTACAAGCCCTAATTCACCCAACTTGCTGTGAGATATTATGGTCTGGGAACTTATTTACACTTGCCTGGGGGCTCTGTTTGATGACCACTGAACTTCCAAGTAGTTCTTTCCAGAGAATAACTTTCTATAGCGCATCCAGGCCGTTCAACCACACGTTAATAACCATGTTACAGGCTAAAAGAGAACAGATGCTGGCTTTCTGCACATTTGCTAAGGAAGCTTGCAATTACAGACCTAATTCAGAACTGATGACTTCGTTGTTCCTTGCATGTGTGAAGCATTAAGCGTCACCTACGCCTTCATTTTCCCCAGAGAAGCAAAATAAAGAATAGAAAGCCCAGACCTGCTTAATGAAACACTTGGTGCAGATTGCAAAACGTAGCCCTTTCAATAGGAAACCTAAGAGAGGATTTGGCAGAAAGCTGAGTTCTCAGCACAACCAGCCGTGTTAAGTACTCACGTTGTCTCTTTCTAATTGCTGCTCCTTATGTAGCTAGCATGAAACCAACACAAAAACAAAACTGGATGATCGGCACGTTCAGAAAATTCACAAAACAAAAAAATAAGGCCCGTGTACATGGGCCCCAGAATGGTGATCCAAGGTAGAGGAAAGAAAGAAAAGCATATGACACAGGGAGTCCTTAACTTACAACAGTTCATTTAGTGACCATTCAAAGGTACAACGGCACTGAAAAAAGGGACCCGTGACCGTTTTTCACATTTACGACCATTGCAACATCCCCAGGGTCACGTGATCAAAATTCAAAGGTTTGGCAACTGGCATGTACTTATGACGGTTGCAGTGTCTCGGGGTCACGTGATCCCCTTTTGAGAACTTCTGACAAGCAAATTCAACGGGGAAGCCACGTTCACTTAACAACCGGGTTACTAATTTAGCAACTGCAGGGATCCACTTAACAACTGTGGCGAGAAAGGTCGTAAAATGGGGCAAATTGTCTCGCTTAGCAACAGAAATGTTTGGGCTCAGGTGTGGTTGAAAGTCAAGGGCCGTCTGTAAAAGAAATATTAAACGGAATTATTTCACACTGTATGTACCCTACACTACAATAATAAGTCCTTGACATACAGCCGTTCGTTTAATGACTGTTGACTGATGAAAATTCTGGCACTTGGTAACCAGCATGCATTTACGATGGTTGCGGTGCTCCAGGATTGTGTGATCACAGTTTGTGACCTTCCCAGTTGCTTCTGACAAGCAAAGTCAACAGGGGAAGTCAGACTGACTGAATGACAGTGTGATTTGCTTAACAAGTACAGTGATTCGCTTAACAATTGTGGCAAAAAGGGTTGTGATTCATTTAACATCCACTTGGCTTAGCCATGGAAATTCTGATCCCAGCCATCAATAGAGGACTATCAGTATTTTCTTGCAGTTTCTACACTCGATTTGATGAAATAGACTTTGTGTCATTTGTTGTTGTTAGTTGTGAAGTCATGTCTGACCCATCGCGACCCCATGGACAACATTCCTCCAGGCCTTCCTGTCCTATACCATCTTCTGGAGTCCATTTAAGCTCACGCCTGCTGCTTCAGGGACTCCATCCAGCCACCTCATTCTCTGTCGTCCCCTTCTTCCATTGCCCTCCATCTTTCCCAGCATTAGGCTCTTCTCCAGTGAGTCCTTCCTTCTCATTCAGTGGCCAAAGGACTTGAGTTTCAACTTCAGGATCTGGCCTTCTAAAGAGCAGTCAGGGTTGATCTCCTCTAGGACTGACCGGTTTGATCGCCTTGCAGTCCAAGGGACTCGCAGGAGTCTTCTCCAGCACCATAGTTCACAGGCCTCAATTCTTTGGAGCTCAGCCTTTCTTATGGTCCAACTTTCATAGCCGTACATTGCAACTGGAAAAACCATGGCCTTGACTCAACGTACTTTTGTTGGCAGGTTGATGTCTCTGCTTTTTAGTATGCTGTCTAGATTTGCCATAGTTTTCCTCCCTAGGAGCAAGCGTCTTTTAATTTCTTGGCTGCAGTCCCCATCTGCATTAACTTTAATAATAATAATAATAATAATAATAATAATAATAATAATAATAATAATAATAGACAGCAGAATAGACGAGAAAGAAATGGAGAAGATAACAAAACATAAAGACCTACAAATAGAAACAGAAAGACTGTGGCAAAAGCAAGCAAGGGTAGTACCAATAGTAATAGGGGCCTTGGGTGCAATCCCAAAACAACTGGAGCACCACTTGAACACCATTGGCATTGACAAATTCGCTATTAGTCAATTGCAAAAAGCGGCCATACTAGGAGCTGCTTCCATCCTGTGACGATACCTGTAATACCATCAAACATCCACATCTGCCTATCCCAGGTCCTGGGTAAGGACTCGATAGGTAGACAAAATGCCAAATCCAGTCTGAACATCTGGCTGACTGTGCGATGATCCATAATAATAATAATGATGATGATGATGTACTGATTGAATTTCCCTCATTTTATCACTAAGTCAACAAAGCTATGTTACATCCGCCACACCGCTGTGGCTACTATTTCAGAGTTACTGACAACCTTCCCAGAACAGGAGCTTCATGATTCTTGAGAAGTCCCACCGGTATTAATGGCCCCAAAGCTTATCGTGACGAACAGTAATAGGATGAATGTTAAACAAATTAATTAATGATTATCCACTTTGTTTTAGAATGTTTCCCACTGAATGAGAGCCCTTCATAATAAATGGACATTCGTTCATGCAAAGTGACTAATGAAATTTCTACCACATTAATTATTGCAACTGCAGAAAGAAGGGCGGGCGGGGGGGTAAATCCAGCCGAATGAATTTGCCATGATCGGTCTCATTAACACAGACACCAAAAATCATGAAAGATCTCCTAGTTATCTCAAACCGTGGGAATGCATCTCAAGTGAGGTTTAATTTGATCATTTGACTTAAGGTAACATCCTGTTAAACAATGCATTATAATAATTAGGCTTTGGGAAGCCTCCATTATTACATGAATGTGCAATCCAGAATGATCGGCGTTTGATCAGATCTTTCCGGAAGTTCAAGGCAAGGAATCGTCTTAGACCAGTGGTTCTCAACCTGTGGGTCGCGACCTGATTTGGGGTCGAACGACCATTTCACGGGGGTTGCCAAACAACGCAGTCCAGCATTTTTTTTCCCCCTTTTCCTTAGCTGTGCTACTCTCTTTTATTCTATTGGCTTTTGAAAGCCAATAGAACAGTGGTTCTCAGCCTTTCTAATGCTGCGACTCTATAATACAGTTCCCCATGTTGTGGTGACCCCCAACCACTTATACATCACCGGGTGCCAGGGGTGTGGCCAAAGAAAAGGGGGAAAAAATGGCAGACAGCCTTGTTTGGCGACCCCCGTGAAATGGTCGTTCAACCCCAAATGGAGTCCCGACCCACTGGAACAGAATAAACTCTCTTGAACAGAGTCTAATTCTATTGGCTTTCAAAAGCCAATAGGAATTGTCCAGGCTGTCTCTGCCCTGCTGAGCCCCCCAAAAGTCCCATTCTGCAAACGGTGCTGCACCAGTTGAGTAGTCCTCGACTTATGACTGGTTGAGTAGTCCTCAGCTTATGACCGGTTGGGGGTCGCGGCATTAAAAAGGTTGAGAACCACTGTCTTAGACTCTATTGATGTGCTTTGCACATTTAGTTATGGGGATGCTCCAGGAGGGTGTATGTCTCACAACTCACAACAGCCAACTCACCGTGGCCAACGCGCCATGGCCAACTTGCTGCAGCCAACTTGCCACAACCAACTCACAAAAGGACAACTTGCCATGGAACACAAGTTTCACTAATATCGAAGAAGTCGTGGAATAGAATCGTTACAAAAAGGAGGCCAAAAGGAAGGACAAAACAAAAGGTGACTGACAAAAATTAAAATGTTTTTTAAAATTATTTTAAATAATTAAATTGAATTGTTGGATTGTCCCGCAGGGAGCTGTCCCGTGGTGAGTTGGCCACGGTGAATTGCAGCAAGTTGTCCCATTCCTCTCCAGGAGGGATGTGCGTGAACTTTCAATCTACATGTGCACTGACTGATAATTAATCCAAAGAAATCGTATTGATTCATTTGTGGGGGGGGGAGAATGAAAAGTTTTGTGGCGTTTGGGGTTTGACAGATGTAGGGCGTTAGCAATGCTATTGCCTCCCTTTCCCAAGGGGATTGGACTAGGGGTAGGCCTTGATTTATGATCACAACTGAGCTCCAAATTTATGTCGCTAAGCAAAAGAGTTTTTAAACGGGTTTTGCCCCATTTTACGACCTTTCTTGCCACAGTTGTTAAGTGAATCACTGCAGTTGATAAGTTAGGAACACGGTTGTTAAGTGAATCTGATTTCCCCATTGACTTTGCTTGTCAGAAGGTCACAAAAGGGGACCTTTTGTGCAGCTGTCGTAAACATGAGCCAGTTGCCAAATGGCTGAATTTTGATCACCTGGGGATGCTGCAATGGTCGTAAGTGTGAAAAACAGTCATATGTCACTTTTTTCAGTGCTGTTGTAAGTCGAGGACTACCATAAGTCGAGGACTAAATGAACTGCCATAAGTCGAGGACTACCTGTATAGTGACATTTCAATCCTTGCCCCTCCTTCACCCAATCTCAGGGCACCAGTTGGGGAAGTGTGAGCTGAGCAGAGAGATCCATGATGACTTTTTGAGGAAGAAAAAGCATACAGCTGGAATCCTAAAGCCGGATAAGCCAGACAAATGGGTGAGAGCCTCAAACAGATGACTTCCATTTAAGAGATCAGAATATACCATAATTCAGATGTTGTCTCTTCCCATACTCACTAAACCAGAAATTCCATATAGTCGCTTTGTAATCTTCGCCAAAGAACCAGCATCGCCAAAAGAAACCTTCATGATGGAAGGTCAGAATCCCTTTATCACCTTCTTTCCAGACGTGCTTTCCATCCTGTTTTCAAAACAAATCAGAACCGTTTAGAAATAGGTTGCAAACTCTCTGGGTTTCATCTTCAGCTTTCCACTTGGTGCCCAAGCTACCTGTAATTTCAGAATGGCGTATTCACAGGCTAAGGGTGACAAAATGGAATTTGCAGCCCGACGTAAAACACAGCTATATAAGGAATGGCAAGAGATAGCTGTTTGATGTCCTCCAGGATTGGGCTAATGGGAATTGAAATAGCAGTAGCACTTAGACTTATATACCACTTCACAGTGCCCCACAGCCTTCTCTAAGTGATTTATGGAGTCAATCTATTGCCCCCAACAATCTGGGTCCTCATTTTACCCACCTCAGAAGGATGGTCCTCATTTTACCCACCTCATTTTACCCACCTCAGAAGGATGGAATCAAGTTTGAGCCGGTTAGAATCGAACTGCCTAACTGTTGGCAGCCGGCAGACAGCAGAAGAAGCCTGCAGTACTGCATTCTAACTGCTGCACCACCATGGCAAATTTACAAAGCATGAGTTTGCAATTACCTTTTATACAGAGAAATCCGTGATTTTCCTTATCTATTTAGGGATCAGATCAACAATCTGAATCAAAATCATCGCTCAGTTCAAATCAGAGCCCATCCAAGCATTCCTATGTCTAAGTCAAATCTGCATTCAAAGAGAAAGAATGTGTTTTCCAAAGTTTAATGTGGAAGAAGAGCAGGCAGAGCTTGGGGATGGAGTCAAGAGAGTAATCAGCCTAGAGTCATTACATTCCCACACACAGTCTAAGTCCAGCCCCTCTTGAATTCTGTTGATTCTTATCTAGTGCCAGTTTAGTAATGACCATTAGTTGACTAGATTCTTGTGAATAGGCGTGAACAATAAATCATCTTAACCGGAATTTAGTGTGTGGTGCACATTTCCAGAGGAACTTTACAATAGATCTGAACTGCTCACTCACAGTCAGTTTTTAAGATTAGGTAAAGAGTGGCCTATGGACTTCAGATTACTGGTTCCCCATCCACATCTGCCCTGCTTTAGTACTATAACAAAGAACCAGAATCCACCCAGAAGCAAACTCAGCTGGGTGCCAGTCGCATTGTCTCCACTTCTCCTAGGTCTCTTTAAATGATTGTCACCACTTCTGAATTTGCATCTCGGCTTGTAAAATTGTAAATGTACATTTTCTGTCAAGCTTCATTGTCTTTGGGGAGAAGGTTGGATTCATTAGCCTGGGAGGCTAATAAAATAGTTCCCTCTTCCCAACGTATCAGGCAGAAATATTTTATACCTAAAATGTTCTTCCTGTTCCTCTTTTCCCAGGAAAAACAGTTAAGAAGTCAAAGAAGAAGGGAAGGATAAGGAAGGAAAGGACAGACGGCTACCTATTTGTTTTCTGCGGGAATGTTCCTAATTTTTAAATAGAACAATGGATGAATTAATCCATCAACCCTCGCGGGTTCAATCAATTAAATCTACAATATTTCATATGTAAGATTGACCGATTACACACTCTGTGATCCAGCTGCTTAAGAAAGCATTCTATCTCAAGGGTACGTAGAGTATACTGCTTATTTACAGAATACAGAATAACAAAGTTGGAAGGGACCTTGGAGGTCTTCTAGTCCAACCCCCTGCTCAGGCAGGAAATCCTAGACCATTTCAGACAAATGGCTGTCCAGTCTCTTCTTAAAAACCTCCAGTGTTGAAGCATTCACAACTTCTGGAGGCAAATTGTTTTACTGATTAATTGTTCTAACTGTCAGGAAATATCTCCTTAGTTCTAGGTTGCTTCTCTCCTTGATTAGTTTCCATCCGTTGCTTCTTGTCCTGCCTTCCGGTGCTTTGGACTAGGTTGACCTCCCTCTTCTTTGTGGCAACCCCTCAAATATTGGAACACTGCTATCATGCCCCCCCTCGTCCTTCTCTTCATTAAACTAGACATACCCAATTCCTGCAAACGTTCTTCATACGTTTTAGCCTCCAGTCCCCTAATCATCCGAGAATTAAATTCCCAACTTCTGAGTTTTCCTTTTGTTTCCAGAAGTATCCTTCAAATCATGCTCCTTTGCATAATGATATTCTGGAGTTACACAGTTTTCGGTACTTTTGTCCTTTTACCTTTTCAGAGGAGAGATTGCTGTTCTTCGCTTCGAATCCTCCACACTTTTCCGTCACCAGCAGCCAGTAGTCTGTCCCGAAGGCTACTAGAAAAAGGAAGATGCTGAGGACGCCCAGAATTGCGGCTAAAAGGGCTGCTATTTTGATCTTCATGGTGGAAAAAGGAAGGGGAAAGAAGGGCTTGAGCCAAGGAGTCTAGAAGGGGGAGGCTTTAAAGAAAATAAATAAAGCAAACATGCAAGAGTTGAGTGCGTTAGGAGCTGAAAGGAAAGGAGACCTATTTTAAGAATGGGACTGGCAGCGATTCACGAGTGTATGCATTTCACAAGGCAGCAAGGAGACAGCTATCAAAAGCAAATGGGTTGAGTTTCCAAACAGCTGAGGCATTTCAAGTAGGATTAGGAATGAGGGCTGGACCAAAGTGCTTCACTCCGGAGCAGTCATGTTTGGGGGTTTTCTGCTTCATGCATCCAGCCAGATGATCTATTTCAGGTTACAACACAACTGATCTGGATGGACAGGCACCACTGCTACTTGCTGTCCAGCAGTCCAGATAGGAGAGGCAGGAAGGCAAAGGCCCCTTGGCCAAATGCAGAGAGGTTGGCAAGCTGACAACTAGGATAGGTGAATCTATTGATTTTGGCTTCTCCTGTTTCTGCAAATGTGTCTAGTTTAGTTTCTCAACCGGATGCTTTTAAAAAATAAAAATAAAAACACTACTACTACTACTACTACTACTACTACTATTATTATTATTATTATTATTATTATTATTATTATTTAAGTTAATGCAGATGGGGACTGCAGCCAAGAAATTAAAAGAAGCTTGCTCCTGGGGAGGAAAGCTATGGCAAATCTAGACAGCATACTAAAAAGCAGAGATATCACCCTGCCAACAAAAGTGCGTATAGTCAAGGCCATGATTTTCCCAGTTGCAACGTACAGCTGTGAAAGTTGGACCATAAGAAAGGCTGAGCACCAAAGAATTGAGGCCTGTGAACTATGGTGCTGGAGAAGACTTCTGTGAGTCCCCTGGACTGCAAGGCGATCAAACCGGTCAGTCCTAGAAGAGATCAACCCCGACTGCTCTTTAGAAAGCCAGATCCTGAAGTTGAAACTTAAGTACTTTGGCCACCTAATGAGAAGGAAGGACTCACTAGAGAAGAGCCTAATGCTGGGAAAGATGGAGGGCAAGAGAAGAAGGGGATGACAGAGAAGGAGGTGGCTGGATGGAGTCACTGAAGAAGTCGGCGTGAGCTTAAATGGACTCCAGAAGATGGTAGAGGACAGGAAGGCCTGGAGGAACGTTGTCCATGGGGTTGCGATGGGTCGGACACGACTTTGCAACTAACAACAACAATAAATATATAAAAATGTTCCCACTATAATTTTTTTTTGTCCATATCTATGGAGATTCTCAATCATCCAGGTCATGTTTGTCCCAGAAGGAAGGGCCTTTCAAAAGGCAGCTGGGACTTTCTCCTTGGTTTTTAGCTTCAAAATGCTTTGCTTCTCATCCAAGAAGCTCCTGCACTGTCTAGCGAATTTGTTTGGCCCTACAAATCACATTCCACTTACTCTTTTGTGAACGGATTAATCTCTTTCACCAATCTTTTAATGATGAGATCAGTGGTGGGATTCAAATAGGTGAACAACCGGTTCTCTGTGTGGATGCCGCTTCTGGAAGTCCATTCTGGGCCTGGGCAACACAAAATTAGCTATCGGTTCTGCCGAAGTGGTGCGAACTGGTTGAATCCTACCACTGGATGAGATGGTACAAGGTAGCTCTACAAACCACAAGGCTTCACTCCCGTTGCAAGGTTAACTCTTTGGGATGCTTTGCACAGCTGACATATTTCCACAGCGGGCCTGGCTGAGGAATTCTGGGAGTTGAAGTCCACAAGTCATAAAAGGGCCAAGTTTGAAGACCCCTGTTCTAATGCATCATAACATTTACTTGGGCTGGCTTCCCTTGAAGGAGAAAGATGACAAAAGACATAATGTGCTTCAACAAGAGACCCGTTTATTTGCAAAGAGACACAATGAACATAGGAGGAGGAATCTCTTAAGATGAACAACACTTTCCAGGGTCCTATAGAACAATCTCACAGAGCAGATCTAAGCCTGAGATTCCCCAGTTCTGGCCTGACATATGAATTAGTCAAGAATTAACCTCCAGCATCAGGAAAGCTGAAGTCTAACCCACTGTATTATGTCAAGAAAGATAAGTCCTTTGAACAGCACAGGGCTCATGGGAGATGTTCATTGTACAGTGTGTGCCAAGAAGAGCACAGCAGACTGGGTAATTCTGGGAGTTGAAGTCGACAAATCTTTAAGCTGCCAAGGTTGAGAAACACTGCTCTAAAGCACGCGCCTTGTTCACAATCATTTAAGCAAGGCATAATTATTGATCTAATATATGCAGATTCTTGGATAACCATACACTGGGAATGTACTCTGCTTCCAATCCCCCCAGGATCAGCCATTTCTCCTCCTCAACAATTGGATTTAAGTTGACTGCAAAGCATTTTTCACACACCTTGAACCTTCTTCAAGGAAAACAAGGCTTCTTCAACTACTTTGAACATGAAGGGAAGGGGAGGGGAAGGGAGGGAGGGGAGGAGAGAGGAGAGGAGGGGAGGGGAAGAGAAAGAGAAAGAGAAAGAGAAAGAGAAAGAGAAGGGGAGGGGAGGGAGCGGAGGAGAGGGGAGAGCAGAGGAGGGGAGGGGAAGAGAAAGAGAAAGAGAAAGAGAAAGAGAAAGAGAAAGAGAAAGAGAAAGAGAAGGGGAGGGGAGGGGAGGGAGGGAAGGGAAGGCAGAGGAGGGGAGGCAAGGGAAGGCTACGGGAGGGGAGGGAGGGAGTGAGGGATCAATTAAAATGAATGAAAAGAAAAATATACAACTGTGTGTGCTACTTCTCCTTAGAAATCACTGCTTGTTCAGTTGCTCCTTCCCCCTGCTGATTTGCATCGGAGCACCCAAGTGAAATAAAACCAAGTGACTTTGAGCGACCTGGTTTCAGTAATGACACTTTTCTGGAATGTTTGTCTGGAGAAATAAGGAAAGATAAGAATCCCGTGAGAAAGCTGTGCGAATATTGCTCAAAAGAGCCCCAGTAAAAGAAAACTAGAGCCAGGATTTCAGCATCCCTCCCCAGCAAAGAACATGGCCTGGGTTTCTGTTTCCCCAGCCCAGCAAGCAAGCAACACTTGGGCCACTGAAAAAAAGGAGCAAAGGCAGCATCGATGGCCATTTAATATATTCCCCATTTTTTTTAAAAAAAAAAAAGTGGAATTCAAACAAGAATGAGGTATTCCAACCTACCAGTAAGAGACCTGGGCAGGTCTAGTTTGGGATCTGTTTCCCCAGTTGACGAGTCCTCTTCCTACAACAAAAAATGATTCAGTGGAATCGTTAATCACTTAGAAATCATTGCAGCCTAGAGAACTAGAACTGGCTAGTAGGGAAGTAGGGCATTTTGGAGAGTTGTAGCTCATATACTAGAGCAGGAGTCTTCAAATCCTGGCCCTTTTATGACTTGTGGACTTCAACTCCCAGAGTTCCTCAGCCAGCGTGCCACAAGTCATAAAAGGGCCAAGTTTGAAGACCCCTGCTATAACCCAATCCACCCACTCTGTTACTTATAATCCCCTTTTTCTCTTTCCTTCCATTTGTTTTTTCATTGACTTATCAAGGGAGCTGAATCTTTGCATAGTATCCCTAATATAATTTGAGCTGGGTTATTTGTGCCTCAACTTAGGCTGGGCCAGGAGGCAGTTATAGCTGTGTTTGTTTTAGTAATACAAAAAAAAAAATAAAGTTCAATCTACCTTGGTTATAACTGCCCAATCTAGTCTTGGAAAGCAGCATATCTAACAACTATACAGAGAACAGAAACTTGGCCTGTTTATGAGAAGGTAACGTTTGGCTTTGGACCAAGTTGCAAAAGACAGGCTTGTTAGGTAGATAGACTCCTGCTAATGAATGCTTTGTCCTTTTGATAAGCCCTAATCTACATTCATCAAGAACGTCTGTTTTGCTGGTTGAATGCCTTAAGATGCCTGTAGTGTTTCCAAAACTGAAAGCTGTTGTCTGATGGAGATACAGTCTGGCAACTAGAATCCTCACAGCTAGGCCACCAATTAATTCTGGATACCTCCCAGTCCAGTCTTCTGTGTGGCTTTGTTCCTTTTTTTTTTTTTCTCCTTGCCACAAAAAGAACTTGTGCTCTTTTCCTTGGTTTGATTCTGTAGTTCTTCAAAGAGGACAACGGGTTTTGCCGTTGTAAAGAAGTTGGCTGATTCTGAGAAGGGTAGCCAAAGGGATATGGCAGCAGAAAACACACGGAGATCAATTGTTCCTAAGCAGCAAACGTCTCCTTTACTCTCCAGGTAATAACATTTTCATAGCCTTTCTTCTGGGCATGATGAAAAGGTCAACAAGGACCTTGAAAGGTGTGTTTTGTTATGTTTTCCTTGGTTTTGAGAACACTCCAAGTGGGACATTTATGTTGCCATGGGCTTTCTTCACTTGGACTGTTCTTTGTCCACTGACACCAGAGAGAAACTGAGTTGAACTGGGATTTTTTTTCAGCCTCAGTACCAAAACCAACATCTGAAAGAAGAGTACTACTTTCTTAAACTTGTATGTATGTGTTTTTAAGTCAGTGTTGACTCCATGTGACTTCCTGGACAATTTCTAGGTGAGGTTTTTTCAAAAGCAGTTTGCCATTGTCTCCTTCCTAGGGCTGAGAGAGAGTGACTGGCCTAAAATCTCCTGCTGGCACCATGTTTAATGGGAGACTAGAGTTCAGATATATGGGTCCTAAAAGACAGAAGGTCCATCATTGGAACTCTTGTTTTATCATCCTCATCCTCATCATCAGGACTATTGTTTTAATTTAGCAGTATTGGTACAGATGTTCATATTAGAATTATTTGGACTGTATCTGTTGTTTTCATGTAAAATAGGCAGTAAACCATGAGCTTGGGGGAAGGAGAGATTTACATTCTCTGATCTGACTTATCATTTGCTGGCATCAACTGCTATTGAGCTCACTGAGAAAATGAAGATGCATATAAATACATTTCTGTCTCTGTCTCTCACACAGAGAGAGAGAGAGAGAGAGAGAGAGGGAGGAGAGAGAGGGAGAGAGGAGAGAGAAGGGGAGAGGGGAGAGAAAGAGAGGAGAGAGAGAGGAGAGAAAAGGAAAGAGGGGAGGAGGAGAGAGGAGAGAGAGAGGAAAGAGAGAGAGGAGAGAGAGGGAGGAGAGAGAGGGAGAGAGAAGGAGGAGAGAGAGGGGGAGAGGGGAGAGAAAGGAGAGAGTGGAGAGATGGGAGAGAGAAGAGAGAAAAGGAAAGAGGGGAGGAGGAGAGAGGAGAGAGAGAGGAAAGAGAGAGAGGAGAGAGAGGGAGGAGAGAGAGGGAGAGAGAAGGAGGAGAGAGAGGGGGAGAGGGGAGAGAGAGGAGAGAGGGGAGAGATGGGAGAGAGAGAAGAGAGAAAAGGAAAGAGGGGAGGAGGAGAGAGGAGAGAGAGAGGAAAGAGAGAGAGAAGAGAGAGAGAGGGAGGAGAGAGAGGGAGAGAGAAGGAGGAGAGAGAGGGGGAGAGGGGATAGAGAGGAGAGAGTGGAGAGAGAGGAGAGAGAAAAGGAAAGAGGGGAGGAGGAGAGAGGAGAGAGAGAGGAGAGGGGAAAGAGAGAGAGAGGGAGAGAGAAAGGAGAGAGAGGAGAGAGGGGAGAGAGAGAGAGGAGAGAGAGGAGAGAGAGAGGAGAGAAAAGGAAAGAGGGGAGGGGGAGAGAGGAGAGAGAGAGGAGAGAGAGAGAGAGAGAAAAAAACCAGGACTAATAGCAGATTTGGGGACATGCATTAGCGACGATAAGACTAATAGCTTTCTCCATTTCTCAGTGTTGCTGATCATTTCAAAATTAGAGGGCCCCGTCCATGAAAACCCTGTGCTTAATCAGATAAAACAGAAAAGGCTTCCAGATATTTTTTTTTCTTTACATCCTTGTCAAAAGAGAAAAGAACAAGGCATGAACCAGAAGCTCACAACTAACACAACAAGCCAGCTCCAGCTCAACTTCTCTCCTTACCACAAAGACAGAAGTTTTACCCCCAAGTAATTTATCTTTGTAATGACTTTTTTTTTTTACAGAGTTGGCTTAGATTCAACTGAGCATATGATACAATAAAAGAGACAGATGAAATTATTTTGTCATCTAGTCTTCCTGGTGGGTAAAGTGGGAGCATTTTAAAATTCAGGGTCATTTTCCCTTTGAGTAAATGTGTAATATTTACTCAAAATCTGCCTACCATTTCCGAAACGTGCTCTTAGCCTGCAAAAGGAGACATCATTTTCCTACCACCTTTTGCAAAGTGCTTTATACTTTCTAAATTTCTGGGAATTGATTTGTGTCTGATTTTATTGTTGCAAGATGGTGGAAGATGGTAGCGATGTTTCCCCCCCCCCCTTATATATCTCTCCCCACCCAAACTACGCAGTCAGCTAGATTACCCAGTTTTCTGATTAAAAAAAAACACACACAGCACAGACAGAATTCTGTTGGCATTGATTTAAAGCCAGGAGAATGTGGGTTGCTAGAGAAAAGATTGCCCATTGAAAGGTAGGACACTCTCAGCACACCCTTGGGCAAATTGTTAATAAATAAGTTTCGGAATATCACATTCTACCTATGAAAATTGCATCAACATTCTCTTTTGCATTACTCGTGGGTTTTCTACCCCTGGACTTTGAAGAAGCAGGATAGAAGTATTGAATGCTTTTCAACTTTGGTATTGGGGAAGACTTCTGAGAATACCATGGACAGCAAATCTTTCTTTCTTTCTCTCCTTCCTTCCTTCCTTCAATAAATTCTTGTTCAGTTTGAGAAGGAAGGAAGGAAGAAAAGAAAAGAAAAAAGAAAAGACATGGGAAGGGAAGGGAAGGGAAGGGAAGGGAAGGGAAGGGAAGGGAAGGAAAGGAAAGGAAAGGAAAGGAAAGGAAAGGAAAGAAGGAAAGGAAAGGAGGAGGAAGGAAGGAAGGAAGGAAGGAAGGAAGGAAGGAAGGAAGGAAGGAAGGAAGGAAGGAAGGAGGAAGGAAGGAAGAAAAGAAGGAAGGAAGGAAGGAAGGAAGGAAGGAAGGAAGGAAGGAAGGAAAGGAAAAGATGGGAAGGGAAGGGAAGGAAAAGAAAGGAAGAAGGAAGGAAGGAAAGAAGGAATAAGGAAGGAAGGAAAGAAGGAAAAGATGGGAAGGGAAGGGAAGGGAAAGGAAGGGAAGGGAAGGAACCAATGGATCATCAAACAAATCAACTCAGATTTCTCACTTGAGATTCACATGACCAAGTTCAAATGATCATATTTTGGACACCTTATGTAAAGACCCAGCTCTCTGGAAAAAGGGGAAGGAAAGAGAAGAGGATGAGCAGCATCTCGATGGATAAGTGTACCACCAAAGGAGCAGGTTAGGGACAGAGCATTGTGCAGGAAATCTATCTATGTTATTGCTAAGAGTTGACAATGGCTTCATGGCACACAATCAACCAATCTACTCCAGAGCTGGTGGTGCAGGGGGGAATTGGGGCATTATGCAAAATAGGTGGGCAAATCCCTCTTTGGAAGTTTTCTACTTCGAAGCCTGGGGGGAGGGGAAAGAAACAATCTAATAATCTCTCCAATCTGATCGCCAGTAATATCACCACTTAAAAAAAAACAGACAGTAACTAAAAATGGGAGAGATTCTCAAGGGATAATAAAAGTTTATATCATTAAATTATTTTATTAATAAATTACATATTTGCTTCCCCTTTTAGATTTGGATACCATTTTTATCCGAAAATGCCATGCGCTGTTGTGACCCTTAATTAACAGAAACAGCTAATGAGGGTTCAGTTGGTAGATATTAAGAAAGAAGCCCTTCAGATGTTCCAAAGGTGCTTTTTCAAGAGGCAACTGAGCATTCTTTGTTTTTCCTTGAAGACGTTTTGTTTCTCATCCAAGAAGCTTCTTCAGTTCTGGTCCAGTTCAGTTCAGTTCGCAGAACTGAAGACTCTCCCTGGATGAGAAGCAAAAGGTCTTCAAAGAAAAACAAAAGAAGTCCAGTTGCCTCTTGAAAAAGCACCTTTGGGAAACCATGATTCGGATGACTGAGAATCTCCATAGACAAGTTCTTCAGATATATCAAGAGTTCTGACGATACTTGGTATTCCTAGCAATGGCCCTGTGGGAACAGTCCAGGGAAAGAAATATTTTTGGGAATATTAAAAAGGCAGAAACTTCTCCACATACACACACACACACACAGCCAGACAATTCAACAGAAGCCAGCTTTTAGAAATGCAGAAGTAATAATCCATTCAGGAAGGTTGAAGCCCTCCAGCTAGAAGTTGAAGAGATCAGGAAGACAAAAACCCTTAAAATCTACATACCCCACCCAAACTCTAAGACAGAACATAATAGGATTAACCCACCACCATCAGAATACCAGAAAGGCACACTCAGACTCAGGTCAAAGTTCATGATATAGGAACAACTCCAAACAAAAGCCCAAGAAGGTATAAAAACCCACTCCCTACTATATGTGCTCTCTTTTTTTCCCAGAGCCATCTTTCTGTCTGGTTCTCCTCTTCAATAAACTACAACCTTCTTTCTAAAGCAGTCGCCATGTTGCTTCTTCCCGGCTTGGACTGGACCCTGATGAAGATTTTTCCTTCAACAGCTCCATTTGTGATTTTTCTTCCCAGGCAAAGCCCATCTCAGAATTTAACTGATCAGACTTCAGGACATCTGGCCAATCGATGTACGTTTGATTAAACTTGCATTTACTCTAACTTAGCTCTGTCATACTAAGATTATCTGGAGAGCTAAAGATGAGCTGAATTGGGGTGATCAAATGTCCATTGAATTAATCCCATTAGGATCAACCCATTTGTCTTTTCTTCCTTCCTTATCATAAAAAGAAAGGCTCCAAGTTTTCCATTTTTGTTCAAGGCTGAGAAAAAATGATGACCAGATTCGGACAGACTAGGATTTTTTTTTTTTAAAAAAAAAATGATCCAAAGTTGAATCCTTGCAAAGCTAGTAATTAGATTTCCTTGACTCAGATGGAATTGAAAAATAAACTTAATAAAAGATCATTGCAGCTTGAGTGAAGGGCATTCCCTGAGCTGAGGAAATCATTTAGGACCATGGAGGGATTACCCAAACTCTAATTTTATTGTTGACTTATCATTTAATATTTGCTGTTTTCAGCCAATGATTTTTGTCTCCTTCCCCACCTTAAGTGCCCTATGCCCTTCCCATCCAGAAGGTTAACTGATAAATTCACATTTAACATGTCTCTCTAATTTTTCAAATTATGTTTCTCTTTGCCTCCCCTCCTTTCCCCTCTTTTTCTCTTGTAAATGTAATTATATTGGCTCCATCTTGTGGCCAAATAAAAGATAGATCTTTAGCTATCATATCATAAATACTGTACGTGCAAGAGGACCATACTCAGTGGCGGGATTGAAATAGGTGAACAACCGGTTCTCTGTGTGGATGCCGCTTCCAGAAGTCCATTCTGGGCCCGGGAAACAAAAAATTAGCTGCCGGTTCTGCTGAAGTGGTGCAAACTGGCTGAATCCCACCACTGACCATGCTCCACCAAGAGAAGATCACTAAAATTCTCTTCTCAGTTGAAACCAGCTGTAAAGCAAATTCTGACATTGTATGAAAAGTGCAAGTCAAGAAGGTTGGGAAATTTAGCCCAGAGCAAATGCTGAGTCATCTGACCGTAATCCGAATCTACCTCCACCTCCTCACAGCCATGTACCTCCTTCCTGAGGTAGTCTGAGGCACTTCTCTCCGGGCAGATTTGCAAACTTTTGTGTCTGAGGATCACAATCTCTTTGACTTGTTCCGCTGGTTCTGGCTCCTGAGGAAGTGTGTAGCGATTATAGGCCGATACCTGGTTGTGGCAATGTAAACAAACCGATATCAATAAACATTCTTTCTTTCTTTCTTTCTTTCTTTCTTTCTTTCTTTCTTTCTTTCTTTCTTTCTTTCTTTCTTTCTTTCTTCTGCGCATCTACCAACTGAAAATTGCCTGCAAAATCTTTGTGGATATTAGAGCTGCTTTCATCTAATTCAGTGGTCCCCAATCTTCAGATCCAGTAAATACGAACAGGGCATTGCAGGTCATCCATCATTCAAGCATTATTATTCAGAATAATAAAGAACGACCAAGTTTTGGAAAGGTATTAACATTCTCACACGGTATGCTGTAAAGTTTGAAAACAAGAATGCCAGCGTTTCAACATTTTAGGCAGCAGCACCAACATTCTTTAGGTCTTGTGAGATTTCAGCTGTTTAAAATAAGCCAGAAAACCTTTGTATTTTATTGAGGGGAGGCCTTACAAACACCATGTAAGAAATTCACATTGCTGTGGTGCATATAGAGGTAGTAACTATTAGAACTGGAATTTCCATTGCTGATCAACGCCATTGTATAGTGCGACTTCACACGACCACATGGCTTAGCAATGGCAGCGCTAGCAGTGAAGGTCACAAATAGCAATCACATGACACTAGTGAGGGGTCCCTGGTGCTCTCTGAGTTTGCTTGTTTTCTTGCAGATGTTTCATTACCCAAACTAAGTAACATCATCAGTGCTAGTTGACCCGCATTGATGATGTTACCTATTTTGGATAATGAAACATCTGCAAGAAAACAACCAAGTTCACAGAGCACCAAGGAACCTTCATTTCAACCCTGAGCTGCAAATATTTTTTATTGGTACATGACTGTGGGGATGCTGTGATAGCCAGAACGTGGAGAACTGGTGATAAGTCCCACTTGTTCAGAGTTGTTGCAAATTCAAACATTTGCTGAATGAGTGAATGTTAAGCAAGGATCACCTGTAGGGCCAGGCATTATCAGTACCAATAGAATATTTGTAGCTCAGTTGAACAAGGTAACTTATTCAGTGTTAGAAAGTAGTAAGGTTTCTAACACAGATGATATTACCTAGTTGGATAATAACAACCAAGTCAGTGGTGAGATTCAGGCGGTTTGCACCACTTCGGCAGAACCGGTAGCTAATTTTTTGTTGCCCAGGGCCAGAACAGACTTCCAGAAGCGGCATCCACACAAAAAACCAGTTGGTCACATATTTGAATCCCACCACTGAACCAAGCTCAGAAAACACTAAGGACCCACAGCACCAAGTCTCTAGCTTAGGTGAAACTCCTCCAATGCTTCCTCTGATCTTTTCCCTTCCTGGAAAATATTCTCATTGGAGAAAGATCTCACCATCTTCCTTGTTTTGTACAAGTTCTTCTCCAGTATCTTCTGGATGTCATTCACCTCATCTTGACTGAGACTCTCTGTGTCATCAGTTACGGTGACAGGATTGTCCTTATGACTAGAAAAGGAGAGGGGAAATCAAGACATCACAGAAAAGGAGTAGCATTCATTTATAAGTCAATGGACCAGCAGGTTTTAGAAAGATGAATTCCAAAAGAGCATAAAAGTTTGAAACTGTACTGTATCTGTCAAAACAAATGGAATGAGGAATTGTAGTTTAAGGTGTTGGATTAGACTTTAAGGAATGCTGACTCAAGTCAAACCTTCAACCACCAAAAATTCAATGGGCGGCTTTGAGTCATTCAGGCCAGTTTATATCTCAAGGTTGCTGTGAAGATAAAATGGAGAGACTAAAGTAAATCTCCTTGAGTTTGTGTGTGTGTGTGTGTGTGTGTGTGTACCACAATGAAAAGGTAATCTCACTGTCAACTGAAGAAAGGAAGGACTCACAGCAATACTTTACGGGAAGGTCTCCACGACAGCTGACCTGCTTCAGCTAACTCAATGGCACGCTTCCTCTCCAGTTTCTCATGCAGAAGAACAATGCTTGACTTGGGCTGCATATATTCCCGGACCAAATATTTCTGCAAGTGTTTGCTGTTGAAATACTCTAATCTGTCCGAGAAAAGAAAATGGGAAAGAAGACAGAGACAGAGAGAAGGAAAGATTTTAACTTCACTCATCCAAAAAGAGCCATGTTTTTGCTGAGCACTGGCTAATCGTGTCACCTACTTGGCTTTTGAGTTGCACATTGTGACTATGCCCAGAGCAAGGAAGTAGTTGGGCCAGGAGAAAAACTTTCATTTAATTTAATTTGTAAAGAATCACTAACATGATCATTCCTCGTACGTTCAACAATTCTATTGTATTAAAAATTTCAAATTTGGCAGAAATTTACGCAAAGGTCCTTTGGTCCATACCAGGGGTAGGCAACCTTGGCTCTTTTATGACTCGTGGACTTCAACTCCCAGAATTCCTCAGCCAGCCATTCTGTGGAGAAATGGAGAGGTTTCCATGCTGAGGCATGTTGACTCAGGAATTCTGGGAGTTGAAGTCCACGAGTCATAAAAGAGTCAAGGTTGCCTACCCCTGGTCCATACCGTGAAAACCTTAAATCACTGATTGTACATTTCTGTCTCAGCATGAAATACATAATGGGCTGATGGAGGCAAACCAATATCAGCGGTAGCCCTTCTATCACCCACCTACCACAGTTAGTTTGGCTCAGAAGCATCACCAATGAAAATTTTCAGGCTTCATGAAAATAGGCTAAAGGACGAGGACTGTGATTGCTAAAATAGTTTGGGGGATCCAGAAGCAGAGAACTTTCTATGCACAGAGGTTAAATATGAGAATCTTTCTCATTAGGAAGCCCTCTGATGCATTGGAAGTCAATTCCCATTACTCCCTTGCCTCGTTCTTTCTTTCACAGGAGCACTCTAAGTTACACAGATCATTTTATACATTGAATAGCGTCTCTCTGTGTTCCCAGTTTAGTCTTGCTTGGTTGAGGAAAGAAGGAGAGGATAGAGGAACAAAAGAAGAGAAAGGGAGGGAGGGAGGGAAGGAGGGAGGGAAGAAGGAAGGAAGGAAGGAAGGAAGGAAGGAAGGAAGGAAGGAAGGAAGGAAGGAGGGAGGGAGGGAGGGAGGAGGGAGGGAAGGAAGGAAGGAAGGAAGGAAGGAAGGAAAGGAAGGAAGGAAGGAAGGGGGAACAGGAACAAAAGAAGAGGGAGAGAGGGAGGGAGGGAGGGAAGAAGGAAGGAAGGAAGGAAGGAAGGAAAGAAGGAAGGAAGGAGGGAGGGAGGGAGGGAGGGAGGGAGGGAGGGAAGGAAGGAAGGAAGGAAGGAAGGAAGGAAGGGGGAACAGAGAAACAAAAGAAGAGAGAGGGAGGGAGGAAGGGAGGGAAGAAGGAAGGAAAGAAGGAAGGAAGGAGGGAGGGAAGGAAGGAAGGAAGGAAGGAAGGAAGGAAGGAAGGAAGGAAGGAAGGACAGAGGAACAAAAGAAGAGGGAGGGAGGGAGGAAGGAAGGAAGGGGACGGTTTCTCATTATTGTGAAATAATAATCTGCTTTGTAACACAAATATGAATAAAGCTAAGTCATCCCTCACGGGAACTTTATACAGTCAGAAAATTCAATGTGCAAGTTTTTTTTTTCCCTTTATACATGTAGAGACTTGTATTTTTAACAAATCCTTACTTGTCTTTCCAATAATATTGTCCCCAGTGTCCTGATATATCTTCAATACCAGCCAACAAATGATCCAGGAACTGAACAAAGAGGGAGGGGTGGAAAGAGGATTTTGATTTACGTGTTTGCATTGTTGTCGAATGAACTCCAGGCACCTGAAGCCTCAAGACAAAAACAGAACCACATTGGGTGGCAGAAGGCTTCACGCTGCTCTGTGTGTCTCGGTCTGTGTGCCTGAGTGAATAAATCACAGAGAAAATTCTCCCATATCTCTCGCACTCGCTTTGGTGAAAGAGAATTTCCTCTTGAAATTCATTTCAAAGAGCAGAATTTTCTGGAAAACTCTGAGGAGTAAAATCAGTTGAAAAGCCACTGATAATTTTTGATATATAAGGAGCATTCAACAATAGCTATCCTCAAAACATGAGGACAAACGTCCAGGTCTACTATGCCGTTGTTTCAAATTTAAAAAATAACATTCTAGATCAGTGGTTCTCAACCTGTGGGTCGGGACCCCATCTGGGGTTGAACGACCATTTGAAAGCCAATAGAATAGACTCTCTTGAATAGAGTCTAATTCTATTGGCTTTCAAAAGCCAATAGGAATTGTCCAGGCTGTCTTTGCCCTGCTGAGCCCACCAAAAATCCCATTCTGCAAAGGGTACTGCACCAGTTGAGTAGTCCTCGACTTATGACCGGTTGGGGGTCGCGGCATTAAAAAGATTGAGAACCACTGTTCTAGATAGCTTTCCAGTCTCCTTACTGAGAACTTACCCGGATATGAATTTGTTCTCCCACCGTGGGGCCGCTTTCTTGTTTTCGAGTGACGTGTAACCAGCCAACGAGGGGACGGATGGTCATCCCCTGCAGCATAAGAGAAAATACTGTAGAAGGCGGAATGTGTAGCGCCAATTCAAACACGGGTTCAATCATTAGATAAATCACAAGGATGCTGGCTGGACAGGATTGAATGATACAAATTATGGGGAAGGATGGAGCAGACTTGAATGTAGATCTTGAACTTGCACTGGGAACCATGTCAAGATGCAGCCTCTGTAGTTTTTCCTAAACTGTAGGAATTGTCCCTTGTATTCTGACTCTCTCTATATAACCCATAGTGAAACTATTTCCCGATTAGATCTCACCACTATTTTTTAAAATTTCTTTGACTAGAGGGAGGAGGAAGAGGAGGAGGAGGAGGAGAGGAGGAGGAGGAGGAATCTCAACAAACTGCTGATCTCAAAAAAAGTCAATTTTGAAAAATGAAAAAGAGCTACAGTTTTCTTAGGAAGAATGATCACCTGTCAGAAAAGAAAGCAAGATGAGCTTTTAGTTTGCCCTTCAGTTATTAGGGGTTTTTTAACAGTGACAAACTCTTGCTGTTATGCAACAACCCATACATGGTTGATGTTGGTTAGATGTCAAATCTGGAGAACCATCATTTCTGCTGACTCCTCTAAAGCAGCCTTCTCTGTTCTTGAGTGTCCTCCAGGTATGTTGCTTTAGACACACAATTCTCAGCAGTGGTCAGACTGGCTGGGAAATTCCAGAAGTTGATTAATCTATCTGGAGAGAACTCCAGGAAGTTGGGTAAGGATATTCGAACAAAATACTAGCTTAGAAAACTTCAGAAGAGCTTCAGGTAGAATAACCATATGGGGACCAAATTAAACAAGGCAACCAACATGCAGTTGAAGTCCTGTTGGACTCTCTTCCAGGTGCACAATGTCCTCTCCAGATGTGGTTGACCTTTTAGCAAGCTTTAGAGCCCCAACTTTCTGATGTCATCAATTTAATTTTACCGCAAGGTGGCACTAGACGTTAAAAAAACTTCAGCAAATTCTCCTTCCCCCAATTTTGCAATTTTTATTATTAGCAATGCTGAGTGCCTGCTGAGCAAAAATACAAGCTGCAGAAATAAAATGAAAATCCTATAAACAAATCACCCAATATAAGCTAATGTGTTGCTAGATCACAATCAGTGACTAACTTGTGTATTCATTGAACATTTAGTTTCAAGAAACGTGGGAGAGACAACTTGGAAGTTTTTTCCGGATTCTTGGAAAAAGTTTCTTCAGAGAAAATTGGAATTTTTAAACAGAAAGAACAGCAGCCTTCTGCCCGAATTAAAGGATGCAACATTGTGAAACAGCCAGTCCTTATTTTCCTAAGGATCTTGAAGAAAGGTCTTGAAATGCAGCCCCTATTTTTGTAACTTTGAGGTGGGGGATACTTCTGGAGACCGATCACAAAGAAAACCTCAAAACTGCTGTTTATTGCAATTTTATTGCTCACAATGTATTGGCCAGAAAATAAAGCTGAGTTTTTTTAAAAAATGGGAGAACATTCTGGATAGAATAGAATAGAATAGAATAGAATAGAATAGAATAGAATAGAATAGAATAGAATAGAGCTGGAAGGGACCTTGGAGGTCTTCTAGTCCAGCCCCCTGCTCAAGCATGTGCATGATGCCGTTATCAATTGCATACACAGACATGCAAATCCAAAACATGGCTACCAAAATCCCTCCTTCCACTTGAACCCTGTAGATCAGTATTTCCCAGCTTTGGCTCCTTTACGACCTGTGGACTTCAGTTCCCAGAATTCCCCAGCCAACTGGGACATCCTGGCATCACACGTCTTCAAATGGTCAAAGTTGGGAAACGCTGCTGTAGATCAGTATATATTTTCACTACATTTTATACACAATGATTGTACCTATTGCTGCATCTGTGACTAGCAGCCTGTGAGGCAATTCACTAATGGGAAGAAATTACCCAAGAATTACTCTATTCCAGTAATCGTGCTCAGCTGTTTCAGTTCCCCAAATTTTATATTTTCATATTTCACAATTATTACATTTTTTATATAAAATATAACTGCGGTAACTGTTTTAAAGTGATAAGAAGGTTTTAACAAGGGAGGGCATTAGTCATCTCCCTGGAAATGCTAGCCAATTTGCAATTCCATATCTCTTACTTCCCCTGTTGCTTCTCCCTGAATGGCTGGCTAATAATGGTGGGTTTTTTGCTCAGATATTCTTCAAGTGGCATGTTGATCCAGTTTTAAAAAAAAACAATAATTCACTGATTGTCTATGCATACATGCTCCATTGACACCTCTGAGAGATGATATATCATAATCTGTAGGAGAAGAGGAGGCAAGGCTGGGGGCAGAATTAAGCATGTCATCAGCTTAGCATTGTTACATTGTCATAAATGGTCTAAGTTCATTTATCCATTTTGAATTCCATTGACCCTTATCAATGGAATTTAGTACTGAACTTTAGTTAACTAGATTCTTGTGTATAAGCTTGAGCAATAAATCTTGAACTGCAACTTAACTTGCATCTGATGTAGCCTTCTACAATACGCTACCTTCCCAATATCTGGAGACTAACATATCTCAGAATTTCCAAAGAATGTGTCTGCTGACCATTTTAGATCAGAATTCTGAGAGTTGTAATCTCAGCCTGTTGGTTAAAAATAAACATCAGAGCAGTTATTTAAAGATACGTTCCAGATCTGTGTGTGTGCCAACAGGTAAGAGAATTCAGCCCACCAAACTCAAAATTTGCTTGAATACCTGTACAAAGACAGTAAAGAGAATAACAACTGTGGTTGCCGCAGTGAAGAGCTTCTTCCTCTGGAAGTCAGGGAGCAAAACCACCAAGGAGAAACAGATGGCCCCTCTAAGGCCGCCATATGCAATAATGAACTGGTCCTTGTGTGTAACAGCGTTGATGTGTAACCTGTTGATGATGAAGGTCAGGACCAGAACACCTAAAAGAGATGAAGAAAGGCAATCAGTTTTTAAAAAGATGGGAAAACCAAGGATCACCCACTAAGACCACCATCTAAGACCACCCACTAAGACCACCAAATTGCAGGACCATGTTTTTATATGTGTGTGTGTGTGTGTGTGTGTGTGTGTGTGTGTGTATTTTAATTTCTTCCTCGATTTTCCCAGATCTACCTGTCTCTTGCTAAACTACAATCTCTCAATTGCTCCATAGTCCTTCCTTGCCAGCACTAGGCCCCCCAAAGCTGTATTTGGAGGTCTACTCAACGTTGCTGCCAATTTGTAACTTCAAACATCACAGAGGGGAAAAAATTTAAATCCATGCGGAGTGCAGTATTTCATTGAACTGAAACTTGATGTTAATTCAATTGAATCGTAGAACAAATTTGTTCCTCCTGCTGGCACCGCTGCCTTCCCTCTCCACTCTGTTTGCATGCCAGCTTCAAAGCAAAGCTGGCTTCCACCAGGAAAAGTTGCCCGTTCTTGAAGCCGATCCTTTTTCCTCCTCCTTACCCAGTGCTCTCCAAAGGAGACAGAAAATTAGGGTGAAACAAATGTAGGGCCAGTTCCACTCGTGATTGTCCCTAATGGTGGAGACGCCAAGGAAGATGAAGATGAGAGTGTCGCTCACACTGCTCCACATCTTCATGAAGTATTTAATGGTGGTGTGGGACTTGAGAGAGATGTTGGCTTCCACGTAGCGCTTCATGCCCAAGGCACAAGAAATGATTCTGAGGAGGGAAAGAGAAGCAATTTACTACAGTCCTTTTCCAACTGGTGCATAAGCATCTTATTGGAACAGGATGGGGAAACGACAAGTTGAACCAAATGAAAATTCTTAACTTACAAAGATAGTTCCTTCTCAGCTTGCAATCATGCGAAGAGACAAAACAAGGATTGAAGGCAACTTGGGGGGTTTGAGCCTTTTATAATTGGCAAGTCTTGGACAGGCTCCCATTTTTATTTTTGACATATAGGTGTCAAAAACTGGGAAGATGCCAGCAATCTCAGTCAGTTCATAGAATCCTTAAGTTAGTTTGAGGTCATTAAGTGCAATCTCCTGCAAGGAGAAAAATGTATACACACACACACACACACACACACACACACACACACACACAAGGAGGTCCAATAAAATAAAACTCATCACCTCTCTAGATAGATGATGGTTCTACCTCTTCTACAGCTAGAAAGCTTCTTCTGACGTTCAGTTAGAACCAGCCTTCCTGTAACTTTAATCTATTATTGCGTCTCCTATGCTACATTCTAGATTAGTGCTTCTCTACTTTAACAACTTTAAGAGCTGTGGACCCCAACTCCCAGAATTCCCCAGCCAGCAGTAGACAGAATTTAAAGTATGCTGCCTAAGGAATTCTGGGGGTTGAAGTCCACTCAGTTTAAAGTGGTCAAGAGTGAAAAACACTGCTCTAGAACAGGAGATCTTCAAACTTGGCCCTTTTATGACTTGTGGACTTCAACTCCCAGAATTCCTCAGCCAGGCACTCTGGCTGTCACAAAAGGGCCAAGTTTGAAGACCCCTGCTCTAGAATAATAATGAATAGGATTTAGCCTTCTTCTCCTGGGATCATTACAAGTCCTTGGTGAGGACTATTCTAGCCTGCCATTTATTCTTTTTTCCAATATATATTTTATATTGGAAATATATGCCTTTTGACAAGTAAGGTCATCAGGGGCCATAGGAAGACCAGCAAAAGGAATGTAATGGAAATTCTAAAGCAGTCTGAGAAGGAACCCTTTAAAAAAAATCAACAACTCTCTTGTAAGGGGAAGAAAAATTGGGAGGAAACAAAGACCAAGTCATCAAAATATCCCTAGAATTTAAGGGAGTGAGAGAGTTCAAAACACAGCTGAAGCACTGTAAACTGAAAGTAAGTTCTCACAGTCTTGAGTTCTGTGTTTCTAGTTTTCAACAAAAATCTGATGAGAACTGCACTTTATGTACAGTAGTCCTTATCTCTGCCTAAATAAATAAGAGTTTTTGTCCCTATTTTTTTCCCCCAAAATATTTTGATGCTCAGACCTTAATGGCTAGCGAGAGCAATGGTGCTGAAACTTTCAATCTAAGATTCATTCTGGTCAATACCGCGTCTCGGAAGCCATCAAGCTTCCATTTTACTTACGCCACAATGCCAGAGAGATGAAACATTTCTGCAGTGAGATAAGATAAGTAGCTGTAGAGGAAGACGAAAAGAGGTTCAATCACCAAGATATTTTTGGTAAAGCGAGTGGTGAAGGCTGCAGTCACAGCATAGAGAAGGCCCACCAGGAGCCCCCCAACGCCCACCACAAAAAACTTCCCAATGCCAACAAACACATCGGCAGTTCTGATCGTCGGCATTTCACAAAAGGACCGGAACAGCCTGTAAAGCACCTAGAAAAAAAAAACAAAACAGAAAATATGTGGGGGGGTTTCCCCTAAGAAAAATAAAATGCCAGAATATATTTCCCAGATTTCTGCAAAGTTGTCTACCTTGGAGAAAAAAAATCCTGTTTCTAGACCTTGTTTTTAGGATGTCTGAAAAGAGTTAGTTTAGTTTGGTTTGGTTTGGTTTGGCTTGGTTTGGTTTGGCTTGGCTTGGCTTGGCTTGGCTTGGCTTGGTTTGATTTGGTTTAGTTTAATTTAGTTTAGTTTAGTTTAGTTCAGCTCAGTTCAGCTCAGTTTAGTTTAGTTTTAGCCCATTTTTTGCATACAATTTATTGTTGCAAAGTGGTAGAAGTATGTTTGCCATTTCTTTTATTATATATTTCTAAATCTTTATGTAGGTCCACACCTTTAAATCAAAGAAAGCTCTATGAAAAGGAATCCTGGAATCTAATGGAAGTATGAGAAGCCATGGAGATAGTAAATCATTGAAGAAGCATCTGTTTGAGCTCTCTTTCACAGACATATACACCTCACAGTTCACCTGTAACTAAAATACATGGAACAAACTGCACTCCAGCTTTTAAGAACCCTGAAATGGTTTTGAAAGCATTTATTTTCCCTTCAGCTGAAAGACCACAGGGCTGAAATATGATTCCTGATAGGTTTTTTCAAGGCTGGCTGTACCATCAAGCATGAAGAGGAAGTAACTTTAGGTGGCATCTGCTGGCATTACGGCAGCATCAAGTTTAAAAGACTGCCCTAACTGTGATGAGATAGAGGGAATCTCCAAATATGGACTGAATCCAGGGTGCAGAAGACAAAATTTCTGTATCAGATCCAGTGGGAAAACAATATCTGAGCTTGGCCAAGATGCATTGACTTTTATTCAAGTAGATCACTTTCAGTAGCTTCATCCCTGCACAGTTGGGGGGAGGGGGAGAGACCAGTCAAATAAATACCAATTTCTAAATAAATATCCATGTCTCTTCATATAAAGCAGGGTTTCTCAACCTGAGGAACTTCAAGACATGTGGACCAACTCCCAGACTTCCCCGCCCAGCATAGAAAGGGTTGATTTAAGAAAAAGGACTGATCAAGTCCTTGGAATAAGTACTTTGGTATGCATTGAACTGTAATAGTTTGATACTTACAACACTCACAGCATCGTTGAGGAGAGACTCCCCAAATATCAAAATGTGAAGCTTTTCGTTGACATGGATCTCCTCAAAGACTGAGAGAACCGCAACTGGGTCAACAGCCGCGATCAAGCTACTGAATAAGAGATTATGAAGCAAGGAGATGTCCCCCAGCTGGAAAGCATTGGCTTGACATATCACATAGAGGGAAAATCCGATGCCAAAGACATTCCAGATTGTTCCCACCACAGCATACAAGAGGATGGTTCCAATGTTCTCAAAAAAGGGCCGACTTGGCATGAAATAGCCTGCATCCAGGACAATGGGGGGCAGGAGATAGAGGAAGAAGATATCACTGTCCATAACTGGAGGTGACTTGTCATTCAAGCCAAAGATAATGCCACCCACGATGAGGCCAACAACAATCAATAGGCAGCTTTCAGGGACAACCGATGGTAGTTTGTCAAACAGATGGAAACCTGGCGAAGACAAGACAAAATTATTGAGAAAATCCAAAACTCCAACATAATTTAGCATTGTTTGATGGTCAGTTGACCCTGCTGCATCTCAACTGTAGTGTGAGGTGAAGGCTAGCAAGTTCTAAATTCAAATTTTCCTTGAGTTATGGGTGAATTCATTCATAGGACCTGGCTGGAGGAAGCTGGTTTTGAAACACAGTAGTCATTCAAAAGCCTTGGGGTTCTTTTCTAAGAAAAACCAAATTCCTTAGGTCATAAAATTTTGGAATTAGTTGAGTGAGAAACAATTTGGAAGCTTAGAAGTCAAGGTTGCGTAATTCTGTGCAATTCTGTATCTTTGCTTCATCTTACGCAAATCAGCTTAACAGGATTTCTAGAAAAGATTTTTTATGCAACAGACTGTTTTTGTTTCTAGCCAGCTTTCTAGCCAGCTGTCACAAACGTTCCTAACTAAAAAAAAAATGTAATACACAACCCATGAATAGAAAACAATAATATTTATTTTACACCACCTGTATCGTATTAGTATAAAATCTTGATGTAAGACGAAGTTCCTGGATTTGCAGCAGTTGTAAAACAGCATAATATATCCGTGCAAATCATTGTACACAAATAACTCATTACAAAGATATATACTTACATGCTTTCCTATAAATGTGCATAAACTTTTGTTAAATATGGGGCTCTTTGTGTACATTGACTACAGAAGCTTACTGTGTGAGAATACAGTACTTTTCCTGGATCACAACTGGATATTCCAGAAGAAGGCAGTATCAATAAAAATTTCTCTCAAATGTTACATCAGCTGTAAATTTCAGTCTCATAAATTTCACAAACTGTACATCAACTCTTTAAGATACACCAATATTGTTCTTTTAGTCTAAAACAATAATTTTATCAGCATATTAATACACATCATGAATAATACCTAAATAAATACAGGTGGTTCTCAATTTACAACCACAGTTGAACTTAAAGTTTCCATTGCTAAGCAAGGCAGTTGTTAAATGAGTTTTGTCCCATTTTACGACCTTTTCGCCATAGTTGTTACTGTCCTGTACTGTAGTTGGACTGTCCCCCCCCCCAACCTCTGTTTAGAAATCACTCTTTGAGTTTCAGATTACTTTCCCACCACTCTGTCCCACGGAAACATACCTATTTTGGCCAAGGAAGCCAACAAGATCCACAACGTAATCTCGAAGGGAACCTGGACATGCTGATAATCAAAGAAGTCTGCAGCATCCTTGGATTCGTTTGTCCAGCTTGTCTCCGAGTTCATTTCATGCTGATAATCAAAGACGTCTGCAGCATCCTTGGATTCATTTGTCCAGCTTGTCTCCGAGTTCATTTCACCCAGAGATTCCAGCACTGTAATGTTCTGGAAACTGGCAGTTCTTGGCATTGAGAAGAAGAAGAAGTAAAAGCCTCGAAGACAGAATCTGAGAGCAGCCATCTCACTCAGGACAAATCCCGTCTCCTTCCACCTGCTTGTCGTCCTGTCTGTCTGAGGAAATTCAACATTGGCAGACTATCTATCTCCTCACCCAGCTTAGATGTGTCTGCTTGCATGTTTCTCTGTAGGGCGTTCAAGTTGAACGTACCCTCTATTGTCCTCTGAATTACATAAATGGAGATGCAGCACTGGACTGGGTAAAACAATGAATTCCCTCAAGGCCAGAAGCGTACAATTCCCAATTAAAACTAGATTTCCAGTAGGCATCCTATGGTTAATTGAACTAGGATTACTAATTGAACTTGTCAGAATATCAACCCAGATTGGAAGAGCATCAATGTCCTAAAACATGGACGAGGTTCATGTCAATGAGTCATAAACAAACCAACTCCATTTTGGCTTTATATATTGTGTAAACTGATTATCTGAAGCATGTCCAAGTGTTGCTTCTTTCTGAGGTATTTCTGAAGATTTTCAGTTACAGAGAGCATCGCTTATGATCTCTGATATGGAAATCCCAGGGGAGGGAGCCGAAATACATTCTGGGATTAAATGAATTCTCCTCAAAACCCCACCCCACTTCCTCCAAACAAGTTCCAATCATTCCAAATCTTTCATGTCCAAACTCTTGTTTTAGGAAATGTCACATCTGCTGGTCAAATTCTAGAGCTCCAGTTCTTCCTGGAATCAGACAGGAGAAGATGACATAGTTAACATCTCTGAAACGTCACGGAAGGTACCAGATTTTCCATTTCTGTTGCCTTTTTACTGGAAGGGGTAAGGCCACTTTCTGTTTTGTGAACCAAAACTGCACAACTTTCTTTCACTGTCCTGCACATTTCAGGAAACTAGCATTTGCTACTTTCTGATAGATAGGAGCATACCCTGTCGAGGGACAAATTCTGAACTTATACACCCATGTTCTTCTGCACCATCAGAAAGCAACTGGGGCGTGCAACTAAGCAGAAGCAGACTTCCCAATGTCAGTCAGTCACCAGATCTAACCCTCTTACTCTCCATCACCAGAGGTTTGCTAGCAGTTGCAGCTCATGATCCAAAATCCAGTATTTTGGATCATGCACCAGGTTGTAGCCCCAAAATAGTGTGTCCTCAGATCGCTCTGCTCCCCCCTTTTTTTTCCCCGACATTGGATGGTTCAATAACAGCATGGCTCAGAGGAAAGAGACTTAATCAGTGGTGGGATTTAGCCGGTTTGCACCACGTTGGCAGAACCGGTAGCTAATTTTTGGTTGCCCAGGCCCAGAACGGACTTCTGGAAGCGGCATCCACACAGAGAACTGGTCGTTCACATATTTGAATCCCACCACTGGACTTAATCCTCTTGACATCTATTCAAGCATCTCTGTGGTGCATAAATATCAGCTTATAAAACATAGAGGAAGCAGCCTATCTATTTTCATCCTGGATTAAGGATTGTTTAAGTGAACTCTGACTCAGAGCCTAATGCTACACTGTGTTTTAGCAAACTACAATTGGCTGTCTTTGAACAACAGTTGAAGCCAAAACATTAACTATGACTCACCAGTGTTGAAAAGCTGGACGTTGTCATTTTAGAAAGTAGGAATCACATTCCTAATAATGAGCTGATGCATTAATATTCACTTCCAGGTATCTCAAACTCTGATTTGGATCAGGGATTCTGAGCTAGCTCACTAATTATAGCAGTGGTTCTCAACCTGTGGGTCGGGACCCCATTTGGGGTCGAACGACCATTTCACGGGGGTCGCCAAACAACGCAGTCCACCATTTTTTCCCCCTTTTCCTTAGCTATGCTACTCCCTTTTATTCTATTGGCTTTTGAAAGCCAATAGAATATACTCTCTTGAATAGAGTCTAATTCTATTGGCTTTCAAAAGCCAATAGGAATTGTCCAGGCTGTCTCTGCCCTGCTGAGCCCGCCAAAAGTCCCATTCTGCAAACGGTGCTGCACCAGTTGAGTAGTCCTCGACTTACGACTGGTTGAGTAGTCCTCGACTTACGACCGGTTGAGTAGTCCTCGACTTACGACCGGTTGGGGGTCGCGGCATTAAAAAGGTTGAGAACCACTGAATTATAGGGACCCACCACCATCTTTTGGCGTGTCCTATATCATACCTTTTAGAGGTTTTTTTTTAAAAAAAATAAATTTTGATTTTGTTCACCTCTTAGATAGATTGATTTATCTGCCCTCCCCTGAAAGGAAGGAAGGATGAAACCTATATCCATACCATCGATCTGTATGACTAAGAATGTTGTATTGTAGAAATCCTTCCTTTCGAACAGAACAGAACAGAACAGAAGAGAACAGAACAGAACAGAACAGAAGAGAACAGAACAGAACAGAACAGAACAGAATAGAATAGAATAGAATAGAATAGAATAGAATAGAATAGAATAGAATAGCAGAGTTGGAAGGGACCTTGGAGGTCTTCTAGTCCAACCCCCTGCTCAGGCAGGAAACCATATATCATTTCAGACAAATGGTTGTCCAATCTCTTCTTAAAAACTTCCAGTGTTGGAGCATTCACAACTTCTGGATGCAAGCTGTTCCAAAGAAAGTTTCTTTCTTTCTTTCTTTCTTTCTTTCTTTCTTTCTTTCTTTCTTTCTTTCTTTTTTTTCTTTCTTTCTTTTCTTCTTACTTCACCCTTTTACTATCAATAACACACACATCTGACGAGAGGCCTCTTTCTCATACACATCAGGTTTATAGGGAGATACTAGATTAGGTTCTTCTGAAAGACAGATGAAAGAAGTAAGACCAGCCACGCCATTAGCCTAATGCAGAGAGGTGGGATTAAAAAAAAAAAAGTGCAGACAGAGAGAGAGAGCTTCTGAAAGAGTTTCAGCCCTCTTGCCCCCACTGCTTTCTCCCTACAAAATGCTTTTGTTAAACAAAGGCATTTCAGATGAATATAACCGATGCTGAAATCCAAGAATCAATATTTATCTCCTCTAGCGATGCATTTTCATCCCGATCCTTGCTAAATCAATGACATTACATGCATATAACAAGAGAGAGAAAGACACAGTGAGAAAGGTTGTGTAATGTTCTTTAAAAAGAAAAAGAGAGAAAGAAATAATGATAATGTAATCAATAGCCATTTGGTCCATGAGAGACACCAACAGCATAGAGCACAAATTCTGTAAGCAAACAAGGAATGCTGTAAACAGCAGCCTGACATAAATTATCATTTTAAAAAAAGGGTATTTCCTCTGAGCGGCTTCTGTTTGCTTATTGACCAATATAGTGAAAGGGAAATCACCCTCACAAAAGCTTGTGCAGAAATTGACATGTATACACGTAATACAAACCTGCAAATATAAGTAATAGTGAACTGGGCTTAATTTTTTTTTTTTTTCTTCCTCCCGTTTCGTGCAGGTTTTCGCAGTGTGCCCTCCAGATTGCAAGTTCCAAACTTTCAGGAGAAATACGGTGAGCTGAAGAAAAATCTGTGAAAGCAAAGCCAGTGAGTGTGGTGAAGAGCAAGGAACTGGCGAGTAGACGGATCCCTTGGAACCTCTCCACTTAAGGAGAGGACAGGAGATTGCCCCCGTGTGCTCTGGACAACTGCTCCTCACAGAGCGACTGCAAGATGACAGTTTTCTGTGGGCTTGAACACTAAGTTCACAAATCTCTCTTTCTAATCACTTTCATAAACTGCCAATGAATTATCTCAAAGTTGTTAGAGACCTACAGAATGACAAGTTCGAAAACACTTTATCGGGTTAATTTATATTCCACTCTGGAGCACTGTGACTAGAGTGTTTAGGACCCTGGGTAGGAGGTTAGCAAGTCCATGTTTGAGATCCGAGTGTCGCTGTGGGGAGGGGTTGAGCTCCTGTCCTTCACTGTAGCTCCTGCTGGGAACATGAAAGGAACCCCCAACTGGGTGTCCCCAGGGCAACGGTGATGTCATCAGCTAATCCTTTCAACCCGGAAGCGCTTCCGTGCTTCTGACATGGGTGCTATGCTATGTTCAACTCTGAGCAAAAGAAAAATACATTTAAGCCTAAGAACTTAACAAATGTTGAAATAAGCTCACATACACACACACACAAACACACAGTAGATAATCTTTATTTAAAAAATTAATAAGGAAGCTAGAAACTAAAGCAAACTGATATAAAGTAAGAAAATGGAGGAGCATTAAGTATGTTCATAGTTATTTATAAAAATAATGAAGTGGGATGGAAAACAAATAAAAATAAATATTTTGAGTAGACTTCATCATATCATAGTCGTTATAGTTCAAATGAACACAGAAAAGCAGGGGAGGGGGTTAAAAAAAAGGATGATGATATATCCCAAAACTAGTGGTGCATACTAGATTTGGGGAAAATAGGAAAAATAAATCTATTTTAAAGAATAACCCAAATGCCATCACCTTTCCCTTAAAGCTCTGTTCTCTTCATTTGTTCACTGATGCCAGAACTGAACTATGGGCGCTTTCAGATGCCTTAAATTCCAAACTCCCATCTTCCCCAGCCTGCCCAACAGGTCAGCAGATCCCTTGACCCAACAGACCTTGTGAGACCCTTACCAAGACTGCCTCATTATTGCCCGAAATGCAAATATGCTATACTGCTCGATGTAATTTTAACCAGATTGCTGTTTGTCAGCCTTGTTTACCAACACGCTTGTGCTCAATTGGTCTGTTTAACATAAATATGATTATGTATGCAAATCAGCACTTGGCTTCCATCTGGCTGGTTCCAGGGAAGCCGTTTTAGAAAGCGGGCTCCAGTGGGGGGTCAGCAAACCCATTCATTTCCCAGAGATACTGAGCGAATTTGTAGCTGTCACATGGCCATCCATTTTCCAAGGGGGTTATTTATTTAAACCAGTCCTTTTCTCATAGGTTCAAATCAGAAGATTCTAGATCGGGGTGTCCAGCCTTGGCAATTTTAAGACTTGTGGCCTGGCTGGGGAATTCTGGGAGTTGAAGTCCACAGGTCTTAAAGTTGCCAAGGTGGGATAGCCCTGCTCTAGATGAATTGCAGTGGTGTAGAACTAGCAGTAGGAAACCTAAATAAATACATAAAAGCTTCTCGTTAAATTTTGTCCCTTTAAAAGTAGGA